CTGTTGGCAGTGGGCAGAGTTAGCCTGCAATACTGCATTCTAACTATTGCGCCACCACGGCTCTTTCAATTCAATAAAATTGGGGTGCAGGCACCTGTTAAAGGAATCATGAAACATTCTTCCTACTGCTTTTCATCTCAAATATTTTCTTTGGCAATATAACCAGCAAATATGTACACAGTGAAATGTAAGAATTCGATTTTTTAAAACTATGGTTTGTCATATTGGCTGGGTTCCTAGACTAAGTGTTCGTCTTTCCACTGCCTCTTTGCCTGTATGCTACCTAATCCTTGTGATCTTTCCTATTTGGCATTGTTCCATGTTATAGCAAGACCGGGACCATTTATTTCAGAACAACCTATATCTTAATTTCACAGAAATTAGCATATCTTAGAGCAATCTGATTTTAGGAGGTATCAGAATGTTCCCCATGCTGTCCCAAAGTCCGTTGTTATAATATTGTTATTTTAAAACTATAATTCAAAATAGAAAAGCTTGTTTGTTAATCTAATTATCGTAGCTTTAATAATAACTGTTGGTGACTTCAAGGGTCATGAATACTTATTCTTTTTAAACTTTTGATTTTAACAAAACATCCATTTAGTCCCAATAAATTAGTAGAACTTTAAAATTGGATAACACTTATATAGTTGAAAATTGTTTCTTTTGTCAGCAGTGTTTTCTTTCTCAGTTATTTATTTATGTGTTGATATTGAGCCTTTGGGGAATTGTTCTTTCTAGTTTGAGAGCCTGTTTTGTTGACATTTCTATTAGTTAAGTAATAAGAGGTTGTTTTCTTATTTCTTATTTGTGTTTCATAGTATTTAATTATTTAAAGAATATACTGCAATATGAAAAAATATGAATGTCTCCAAATTCGTTTACACTTTGTACAAATATTTTATTTTTTAATTGTTGCATTTGCAGCACTTCTGAGGATAACTACTGCTTGAAATATATTGGGTTTTGTTCCGCTTTAAAAAAAAAAAAACCTTCCTTTCTTTGAACTGAGAAATTGTTGTTCTTTCCCATCAGTTTATATATGGGCATTCACTATTTTATCTTTTGTTTTGTTTTTTTCAAGCTTTCATGCTACAAATTACAAATAAAGCTCAAGATCTTTTCCACAAGCACTGCATATTATGTTCTAAACTTCCTGTCCAATCATGTTTGCTCTTGTATGGTACCACCAGTAGAAAGTCTTTTGTTCCTGTTCTTGAATTTTGAGGTTAGCCAAGTACAAACACTTGATTTAGAGACAAAATTTGATAGGAAATTTCTCTTAAACATCCTTACATAACTCCAGTTATCACGCCATGTTCACTTGCTGAATAATATGTTCCACTACCTCTTTTGGAGAATTCAAAATACTTATATACTTCTATTTGGTATTTTTTAAAAAACTTAGAATGCAGTATCTTCAGTGATATGGGTGATCCCATCAACTTTCGATGACAAAACTCGAAAAGATTTTTAAAAAGAAATCCAGATAGCTTCACTATAATTGTGTGTTGTCAGTGAATTATTTTTAAGCTGTTCAATTTAAGGGCGGGGAGGGTAAGCAAATATCTTTCAAATATACAGAATGAATAAGCTATGTTCTACAAAGGAAATATTGCGGCTTGTAACAATGCACCATTATTAGTTAATAAGTAACTGGGAACAGTGGTAGATGATAGCAAAAAATTTTGTTGACTGAAAGATTGCATCAATTGTTCTTGTAATTCAGGAGGTCTTGTGCTTCCATTAAGACTTCTGAATTCTGTGCTTTTTAAAAAATTAATATAGTCATTCAAAAGAAATGTAGTGTTTTCAGATTCTTCTAGAACATCCTACACTCAGCAGTTACTAACATCATATTGCAAAAAAGTATCCCATGAATAGTAGAAGCACTGAAGAAACAGATTCTAAAATGTAAAACAAAAAAGCAATCTTTTTTGTTTTACATTTCAAACTTCTAAGCATATATATGAGATTCCATGTTGTTCAGTCTTTTACTTGCTTCACCTTTTGGGAACCAATGTTTTGTCAAGGTTTTCTGCCAGTAACTAATTCTTTGGTAGCTTCTTATAGCTCATCGGTTCAAGGTTGACTCAGCCTTCCATCCTTCTAAGGTCAGTAAAATGAGGAGGACCCAGACTGTTGGAGACAATAGGCTGACTCTGTAAACTGCTTAGAGAGGGCTGTAAAGTACTGTGAAGCGGTATATAAGTCTAAGTGCTATTGCTATTGTATCTTCAGTGATCTTATCTAACCATCTTGTCTTCTTTTAGGCTCTTCTTTAAGTTTTCATTTTTCCCAGCCTCAGGGTCTCCTCCAGTGGCTGTTTCTTTCAAATTATATGTCCGAAACACCTAAGCTTTAGCTTCATTATTAGCATTCCGGTGAAAAGTCCGGTCTACTTTCATCCAGTATTTAATTATTTGTTGCTGTTGTCCATGATATTCTCAACTACTTTCTTCGGCACCACAATTCAAAGACAACCGTTTTTCTTTGTTCAGCCTTTCTGACGACTCGGCTCTCATTGCCATAAATGACAAAGCCACACCTCTGACAATACCTTCGCTGTCACTGTGACATTTCTGCTTTCAATATTTTGGTCAAATTTGTCATATTTTTTCCCCCAAGTAACAGACGAGTATTTCATATCCCAGGTCATTATCCCTGTGAATAGTATAAGCCTTTTGCAACCTCAGAAACAAGTCAAAAGTGAACGCCAGAGTGCTCATCGCGGGCAGAAAATTGGGCACAACAAGTGAAGAGAAAGGAATGAGTCGTGTGCTCTTCCTTCAGTCAGGGCCTTCAAGAGGTAAACAGAAGAACTTCCTCATCCTCGCCGACAAACCTAAGCATAGTTTCCTTGATCGGCCGATAGTTCACACAGACTGAGAAGACATGTGAATATAATCCTGAAACTTTTGAGCACCCTGAAATGAAGCCACATAGTGAGGCAACAGGGAATCTAGAGGTACCCAAATGCACTTTCAACAAGGTAGTCCTCGAATTGTTTAATGACCGTTCCAAGTTACACCACTGCAAAAAGCGACTAGATTGCTTTTCACACTTAACGACAGTTGCAGCATCCCCATGGTTATGGGATCAAAATTTGGGTGCTTGGCAACTGGCATGTATTTACGACAGTTGCATTGTCTTGGGATCACGCGGTCACTTTTTGTAACCTTCCCAGCTGGCTTCCAACAAGCAAAGTCAATGGGGGAAGCCAGATTCGCTTAATGACCGCACGGTTTCCTTAACCACTCCAGTGATTCGCTAAACAACTTTGACAAAAAAAGTTGTAAAATGAAGCGCAACTCATTTAACAACAGCCTTGCTTAGCAACGGAAATTTTGGGCTCCATTGTGGTGGTAAGTTGAGAACTACCTGTACTGTCTGCCTGTCTATTGTGTCCTAATTTCATGAGTTCTTCTATTAATCCACCTGGATATGGCAGCATAGTCCAGTCTTCAGATCCCATGGGGAAAAACACCAATGCAAACCTGTTTTCTGAAATTAATTATTCCTATGATAGCAGTTTTAAATGACCTTGGATGATCTTTGAAAAGAAAACTAAATTGGCTTGGTTACTGCTTGGAGGAGAGATAACTAGGAAATTCCAGCAGTACAAATTGGACTGAAAGGCTTGAAACCACACCTTAGTAGAAGACAATGGCAAATTAGGACTGCATCATTGCCAAGAACATTACAAGGAATCATTTTTCCTCCTAAGGGCTCTAAAATGGCTGGTACTCTTCAGTTTTTATAACCCGATTAAATAAAACTAGATCTGAAATATCTTTAATTTCCCCTATGCTTGGTTAAAGAGCCAACAACTACTACCGATATGTGGCCAAGTGACTAATAAATTGATGGTTTGATTTATTAAAAGAAATGTTAGCTCAGATGTGGTCTAGTTATCTCACTTTAATATGTTTAAGAGTGGGACAGTTGCAGTCTAACTCATGCCAACTCTAGCAAGCCTAGCAAATCTAATAGCAACAGCAGCAGCAGCAACAACAACAACAATAATAATAATGCGTTGAAAGATTTGCAAGAATTACCATTTGCCTGCAAGCAAGAACTGGTGGAACCATAAAATAGAGGAAATCAAAGAAAATGAAGAAACTAAAGTGCTCTGGGATTTTAGAACTCAAACAGATGGGTATAACATGCTAGACTTAACAATTGTTGATAAGAAAGACAAGAAAGTCTTGGTAGTAGATCTGGCAGTGCCTGGAGACAGCACAATAGAAGAGAAAGAACTGGAGAAGATAGCAAAATACAAGGAACTGCAAATAGAAATAGAACAAGTGTGGCAAAAGAAAGCAAAGATAGTACCAATAGTAATAGGTGCGTTGGGTGCAATCTCAAAACTGGAATATCATTTGAACTCCATTGGCAGTGACAAATTCACCATCAGTCAATTGGAAAAGGCAGCTTTGCTCAGAATAGCTTACATCCTGTGCCAATACCTCTAACACCATGAAACATTAACAATCGCCTATCCCAGGTCCTTGGGAAGGAATCAATAGGTAAATAAAATGCTAAATCCAGCCTGAACATCTGACTGACTGTGTGACTAATAATATTAATAATGAAATACAGCAGAACAAATGAACGCTCCAAAATAATGCTTCCAAAGTAAAAAAAATGAAAAGTATTTAATTTTGTATGGATGGCAACAATGTATTAATTTACACAATTAACATTTGAAATAAGTCTGTTTGGTACTCTTTATTCTGCACCTTTAAAGAATAATTTGATTCCATTAACAATACTTACCAGAAACTCATTATCTTTCTTTTCTGGGTGTGAAGCTTGTGAATTCGGAGAACAATTTTTCTATCCAACTTTTAAATCATTTGGCCCAAGATTTTATGTAAAATTTTCCATCCCAACTACATGCCAAGAATCCATGAATGGCAAAGGCTAACATGAAGCCACCCACATTTCTAACCAGAATGCTGTGAAATATGCTATTTGTTAATATTTTTCATACATACCAATGCCACACTTTCACTGACCCAAGAAGATGGATTGGATTCAAATCTTGAGACATAAATCACAAAACGATCCGGAAATACACGTAATTCTGTTTAAGTATAAGAACATATACATTTTGGAAGCTTTTTAAAATAATGAAACTTCAGAATCACTTTCTATATTATCTAATCATATAGGTTTTTAAACACTGTACCCCCCATTTTTTTGGTCAGTTGAATTCCATAATCCCTTTTTGTTGTTTTTTGTTGACAGGCAAAAATTATTAAAGTCAAGAACTAAATCTGAACCAAAAAAAAAAAAAAAAAGGCCCCAAGATTTTTCCATTGGAATGTGCCAAAATTATTGGCTGGTTTTTCTCCTATTTCTTCTATTACAACATTTTTCCCCCAAACATTTTAAAAACACTCTTTTATGTCAATCTTTCTGCAAATTTGATGGTAAATAACATCATCTCACCTATTATGGCAGAGATAGATATCAAACAAAAAAACAAATGATTGATGCTATATTCTCGTGATTTCCTATAACTGTTCGTTTTATAGCAAATACAAAGTTAATTGCCTAGTTTTAATTGTATTTATGTTTATTTCTTTGCAGTATTTATTGATTTTCACTGTTAGCAGCCCTAGGTGGTACACCAACAATACTATACAGCAGAGGTCCCCAACCTTTTGCGCACTAGGGACCGGTTCCATTGAGAGAGGCTTTTCCACAGACCAGACGGTGTGTGGTTTTGTGTGTTGTCCGCATCTCGCGGATAGGCTTTGCTTTTTTGTGCAGTCCGGTTGCTGGCATGCCACAGCCCATTACTGGTCCACAGACTGGGGGTTGGGGACTCCTGCTGTACGGTCTTTCAGTGAGCAAAGATTGGGGCAGATGGGAATTGTAAACTCAACATTAATCTGGCATTAGAACTAAACTTTAACACACAAACAAAATGCAAGATGATGGTGTGACTGTAATAATAATGCCCAGTATTAACAATAATATTAATAGCAACAGAAAAAGTGGTTAGCTTCAAAGCTTCCCCTGCCACAATCATGGGAAGGGAAGAAAAAGGAGACCCTGCAGATTGTACTCCGCAATGTCATTGCTGACTATAGGGGCGGAGTTCATCTCTGTTTCAGCCAGTGCTGTCCGAAGACTTTTCCATGGTCATGTGGCCAGCGTGACATTGCAGAGCGCTGTTCTCTCCCCACCGAAGTAGCATTTATTTATCTACTGGCATTTGCATGCTTTCATACTGCTAGATGAGGAGGAGCTAAGTGAAGACGGGCACACACCCCACTGCATGGCTCTCGAATCTCAAACTCCGGCTGTTGGCTTTTCAGCCAAAAAGCCCAACATCTTAACCACTGAGATATTGCGCTGACATGCCACAATCATGATGGGGGAAAAAAACCTCCCCCCCCCCCAAAAAAAGATGTACTCCAGAGAAATCCAATGCTGAAGCCTGATAGTACGCCAACTCACAAAATCATTTTAGTGTATTCTGGATTTTTTAAAAAAGGAGTTTCTTATGTATGTTATAATTCGAAGCATGATAAAAATGTTGGAAAAACCACTGAAGATTATAATAAATTTAAAACAGCACTGGAATTTAAATCCACTTTAAAAAAAATCCATATAAGTAAATATGGTCTTTGCTACTTTTTTAAGGGTATGTCCTAAAGCAGAGGTCCCCAACCTTTTGGGCACCAAGGACCGGTGCCATGGAGAAAAGGTTTTTCCACAGACCAGACGGAGTGTGGTTTTGCATACTGCCTGCATCCTATGGATGGGGCTTTGCTTGTGTGTGCAGCCCGGTTGCTATACACAAACACACACACACGGGCTATATGATTCCTAAGATATTCTCATCCCAAAGCACTGTACTTAGGCAATGGGGCAGAATGGACTTGATTTGAGGTGTTATCAAAATGGAGATTTACATGTCCAATAGACTTAAAAAATGTTCACAATACTGTAATGTTACCATATTTAATGGGATTCAAGCAATTTTTCAGCCAAACAATTAACTGCGCCAAACATTTTATTTTTGGCAGCCTAAGATTTTATGTCATACCCTTCTAGAGTTCCTTGGATGCAAAAATATGAAAAGCGATCAGGTCCAATGACATCACTTAAAAGGAGAAACAAAAGCTGTCTCCGGCAGATATTTGAACCACCCTGTGACAATATGCCTGACTCATAAGGCAACCTCTACTGATTCAGAATTCAGAGACTCAATAAAATGCTGAGTCTAGCTATTGTTGCAGTGAGTCCCGGCTAATTACTCTTTCAAGAACTAACTAGTTAGTAAATAGCATGGAACAAAACAGCAGCAGGAAATTCATAACAAACATTTGCCCCAGTCAAAGAAGTAAGTTTCTTCAGAAAAGGGAAGCAAATATGTGTAGAGTCCATCTCTTGAGATGAGGTCCTGGGCATATATCAGAGAATTGCAAAGACAGCTTTCTAGCAACCAGAATCAATCACTTGTGATATGGAGCATAAAAGTATAACCAAAAAAGCTGAACCTCATTGTTCTTTCTGATATAAAAGCAGAAACAACTCTCTTTAATAATTCTGTTCCTGAACTATGGATAGGTCAGGATGTTCTCTCCACTTATCATTGGTAGAGGATGTACGTTCCTAGCCCCACTAAGTCGAAAAACTGGTAATAAAAACTAGAAGATGCTTCCTTTCGATTCTGTTGCCAGGACAAACTGACAGTATAAGCGCCTTTCAATTTATTTGTAAGAGACAGAACAAGTAAACACTCTTACATAGCAGTTGTCAAGTTTCAAAGCACGGTTTTGCTGGTGCAACAAATGTTGCTTCTCAGCTTGCCAACCAACTTGGGGGGAACAGAGAGGTTTGGAATGCAGACTTCAAAGACTAAGACGCCAGACCATGAGACTGAAGGACATTACACCAGGTGTCTGGCCAGACCTAGAGATGCTTTCTCATAACAATATTTTTCCACTTGATTGGGCAACGTGACCTGACCCAGAGGGAGGAGGGAGAATTCAATGCTTTTACTATATGAGTTTGGGAAGGGTCTTGCAGGAGCTAGTTTTGCTTTCATTAGTGCCGAAGTGATGTACTCAATAATTTTTTACATTAAGAGATCGAAATATCTCGAAGGTGTTTGCTTGGTTGGGTTCGTCAGTCAGAACCTTGACGGAGGTTTCCTTCCAGGAAGCCATCAGCAAGTTATAATCAAGCAGCAGAAAGAGGAAAAGAAAACTTTCCGCATCACACACAGTTTGTGGGAAAATGCCATTGGGCCAAGCGTAGCTTTTTCACCTTGTTTCTCCAAAATACTCAGAGAGGGAGGCATAGGTATCTTACCACTGTGCGGTTGTCCAATACATCGCAGATTAGCCCATCTTTTGACAAAGTAAGCTGAAATGTGAAACTCGTCCGCTGCAACATAAAAGCAGGGCAGGCTTTATACAAGCAACGCAGGTTTATCAAGTATGTGTCTGGATTAAAATTCATATACAAAAAAGCAATTAAAATTCACTAAGTACATTTTTAAAAGTATGCCAGCTATGTGCCTCGTTACCTTAACTCTAGCCACAAAATCCAAATTTGCACGTTTAAATGTTCCAGCCCAGGCTTGAGAACCAGTTATAAGCTACATTCTTTTATCCATTCCTTATAGCACTTGACTCCAGCCCTGCCAAATGCCACTTTCTCACATTTCAAAATTCTTGACGCAATCTATCTCTAAGCAATGTAGCAAACCTTTTTGTTTTTGTTTTAAATAATACTAAATTCCATATATATGAATCCTCCTTTAGATATAACTTAAAATAGATGGAGTTAACACACCCTGTAGGGAAAAAGGGGGATGTCGTAAAAACGTTGGAGGCCATTTCCACAAAAATAAAGTATCATAAAATTGTATTAAAATATTTCCAAACACGCTTATTGTTGTCATTTTTTTTTTTAAAAAAAGGCACTTTGGTAATTCAGTTCAAACTGGTACAGTATTGCAAAAGATATTGTAGAATATTTTTATACAGTTATTGATTTGCTTCTTTTTATAAACCCATGCTAAAGCACCCGAGCCATCTCTCAAAAAAAGTCACTGAATTTTTAAAACACTTTATCATATTACACTATTGAAAGGTGACTTTGCAGTTTATTCTATATTACACAGGAATAACAGAAATGCAATGATATATATATATATACTTTCAGTGTTTCATGCAGAGGAAGATCTTAAGATCTGATGAACATCAGTGCCATGAATAATTCAATTAAAGATATGCTCCACTCCTTAGCATTTGATCCTATTGTTTTACTGTGAAAAATACTCCTCTGCCACTCTTTTGCATAGTTTGGTTCAAAAAGGCTACATTTTCTTTGGACAAGTTCAGCTAGTCTGGAAAGAATCAAGCTAGGATTAAATGCACTTTAGGATTTCGTAATGGAACCATGAAATGATCAAAATAATGTTTATGGACTTCATATACGGCCCTGGAATTTCTGCATCCTTTATTCCAGTGGTTCTCAACCTTTCTAATGCCGTGACCCCATAAAACAGTTCCCCATGTTGTGGTGACCCCCAAGTGGGTGTGGCCACCAATAAGAGGGAGTAGGACAGCTGGGGAAAAGGGAAAAAAATGGCAGACTGCGTTGTTTGGTGACCCCCGTGAAATGGTCGTTTGACCCCAAATGGGGTCCCGACCCACAGGTTGAGAACCACTGCTTTATTCTAAAAGAAACTTTAATTCCATGCCCTTGCTATAGTAATCAAACACAGCCTGATTTGGAACTGTAGCTTTGTTCTAGTCTCAGTAGGCTAAATCTGGTATAAAGTTTTAGTGGGGCCAAAAATGTCTCTTAAATATCACTGCATCAATGCCCTGGTTTGGACAAAGATGAAGGATGAAAGGAATATCTGCACAAACTTTCTCTCCAACACACATTTCCAATTCTCATGGCAATTCCTTTCTTTACAAGTCAATACCAAACAGTAATTTCTCTCCCTTTCTGACTCAGATAATTGCCCTTACATTACTTTATAAGTTAGTTGCCTAACAAAAACTTTTGTCTCTGGAAAACCTTTGATTTCATTATTGTTTTCCTGACTATCAAACTCTGCTATGCTGTACTCCTACATATTTGGAATTATGGGACAGCACAACTGAACAACCAACACTGGCAGAATAAAACCAAGATCATAAAGGTCACATAATTACAAACAAGGTTCATGAAGTTAATATTTTCATGAGGCCAATGAAACATTATAAAAAGAGTTGGAAATTTTGAATTTCCAGTTGTTTTTCATCTGATTATGATTAAATGTCAGGGGGAGGGGACATAGCGGGGAAGACAATTTGGGTCTATTTCAGTTTAGTTTCTTAACCGGAGTGAAAGAAAGTCTATGCAGACTTGTATTTCAGAGGTGCAATATAATATTTGCAGGAAGAAGGAAGAAGCAAAGGTTTGTATGTTCCAAAATTTTGAAATATAATTGCAGTGGTTTTTCCCAAGCACATTTGAACTGAAGCATTATTATGGAAGGAATGGCTCCATTAATGTGAAAATGTAGTTTGTGATGTAAACAACTATGTGCCCAAAAGAAGCAAGGTAATAATCTCACACCTTTGGATCAGAAATAAATATATTTTCCCTGACTCTAACCCTATGTGATATTATTTTTACATAATTTCTCTTGTGATTGGCACATCTCAGAGCATCATGTAAATTTCTGTCAATGAAAACATTTTTACTGAAATCATGTGAAAACCTGATGTTTCCATTGTCATTTGAGAATGGTTAAAAAATACCCACAGAAATTTGGATAGCTTCTACCGAAACGAACTGTTCATATTAGCATGTAGACTTGAAAGGAAAGTAGATAATCTACACCCTGGAGATGGTGATGGGGTAAGAGTTGGAATTCGCACACGTGATTCCAAATTTCATTTGAAAACAGCCTCAGGAATGACAACTGCAGACAAAGGCCTTCATCAGTCTGTTCACACCCCTGTGAAATTAAACTGTGCTGATCAACAGCCTCACCCTATGATTTTGGCGTGTTTTGTGCTGTAACTGGAAAGACCCAGATGCAGCTTGACAATGACAAAATTCCAAATCCAGTAGGGCAGTGTTTTTCAACCTTGGCAACTTAAGACTTCAATCCCCAGAATTCTCCACCCAGCTTGTTAGCTGGAGAATTCTGGGAGTTGAAGTCCACACATCTTCAAATTGCCAAGGTTGAGAAATACTGCAGTAGGGAATGGAATCTACATCTCCCTCATCCAAGTCCAGCCCTTAACCACTTCAATCATCTGCATTAGCTAATGCAGAATTACTACAAAAGCAGCAGCAGTTTCTGAAAGTTCTCCACCATTTTAAGGTACGGTATTTTATCAAAATTGAGAAAATTAGACTCAAAAAGAGAGGCATTCAATAGCAATTTTTTATTAGAAATTTAAAGCCAATAAGAGCTTTTGAAAACTGCAATGGATAGCTGTTCTAATTTCGTTGGTTGATTTCTGGATGATCTGCAACATTTAGTCAATTTTTTTAAAAAAATTATCTGTATAGGTTTGGGATTATTAAAGTTTTTAATGTTTGATTATCCAATGTCCAAATAAAATTAAATAATTACAAAAAAGGATTTCTGAATACCCTTTCTAATAAAGAGAGAGACAAATAGCCAGCAGCAGTTTTTTGTACCAAAATTCTATTCAAATCTGGGACTTGGTAAATTCCTGGAACCAGAAATGTAATTCTAAACGTTTTTCACCAGAAATGTAATTCTAAACGTTTTGGCCCTCTTAAGTCCTAATTTTTTTAAAGCAGTTTCTGAGGTCTCCCCACCTTGATTGGTAGCCTTCTCCATAAGCCTGCTAGCAACACATGTTTGCTGATGACTTGATCATCTGTGTGGTTGCTAGTAAGAATCTGTGGTTTAGCATATAACAAGGGAAAGCTGTCTCCCACGGCTATTAGAGACCATTCACCTGGGAGCCTGGGAAAAATGCTTTTCAGCAGCTGAGTTATCTGGAGTGACCTGGCAGGTGTTCACTTCCCAGCAAAATCTGGCATCTGAATCATTCCATTCTGAGTTCAGCAAAGTCTTCTCCAAAACCACAAGGCAGGCCTATGGAGGCCTGTAGTGATCTCAAAGTGTTTTTGTACTTGACACGCCCCTCTTTCTTTTTCCACAATCTTTTCCAAAACACTGAACCTTTTCTTCCTTATAGTCCAGCTATTTTAGATGCTCCGCTATTATTTGAAATTTATTCTTTTTATGTGCTGCAGGGACTAAAAACTCTCAATAAATAAAGTAAATGTTTTTAGAGAAAACCCATTGAAAGAACTACATGATATATGTGACTGTGTAATCTATCTCCTTTAAACTGTAAAATGTATAGGCCACACAAGCATTAATATTTTAGTGTTGCTAGTCAATACTCTACATTTTCATGCTTTAAATTACATCTAATCCCTTGATTATCTGTCTTCACTCAATATTTCAACACTAAGCTTGAAGCTATAGAAAATAGCTTTTATCTAAATTTAGTTTATATCACACACACATAAACACACACATTGAGAGGGGGGGAGGACAATTTGCTTAATTTGGCTTCTGAATTAATCAATTTTCAGGATTTGCACTATGTGGGGGAGAGAGAGAGAGAGAGAGAGAGAGAGAGAGAGAGAGAGAGAGAGAGAGAGAGAGAGAGAGAGAGAGAGAGAGAGATTATCATCAGGAATAGCTTCATCTATTGAGTACTAAATGCTGCCTGTAGGATTGCTCAGATAAGTGTCCTGATCATCCCCAACCAGATATCCTGGACTACAACTCTCATACTTAATAGCCTTATTAAGTATGGGAGTTGTAGTCCAGGGTATCTGGAAGACACCAGGTTGGGAAACTCTTATTTACAGAAACTCTTAGGCCAACCCATGTGCTGCCCATCATCAGTCAGGACCTTTAGCTAGAAACATAGAGGGATAAACAGAGGCACCAAAAATATGTTAAGCAAGTTTTAGAGAGTCAGAAGAAAGAGAGATGCTTCAGGGCACGGCATCTACCAGGCAATTCAGTCAGCTGAATTTAACTTTATTAAGCTGTAAAATATTTAAAGACATTCTATCACTATGAAATTAGTAGTATAGAGCACTAATATCCTTCCGAATGTGAAGAGATTGCTAATGGCATGAAGCAATTTGGCAGAGACAACCACTCCCTCTAAACTCTGTGGCCCCTGAGGGTAAGCAGAATAGATAAAGGTTAAATCAAGGACCTGCTGGCAGGACACTGAAACCTTCCAAGCAGCCATTACTCCACTTTCCTGAGGAGAAACTGTAGACCATCTCTTCTTTCTCCAATAGACATTTGCTGTCTTTTTCTTCTATTGTTCTACTGCTTTATGGTTTTGAAAAAGTTTCCCCTGATATCTGCAATTTTCCAAAAAGAATCTCATGTCCTTCCCATTTTACTATTGTTCTCAGTCCCTTTAGCTAGGACTACTGCCTGTTCTTCTCTGAAAGTTAGTATTTAGTTGGGAAAAAGTTCTTCTGTCTATATTACCTTTCTTCTTTGACTATGAAAGCGTATCAGCAAACAGCCATTTCACTTTCTTTTGCTTTTTATATTTTTGAATATTTTTGATGACTTCGTCTTTAATGGTATTAGCTTTCTTAAAGCACTCTATCCAGCCTAATCCATTAAATCTATTCTTTTCTTGACTTGACAAGTTATTCACAGTATCATATGGAATATTGAGGAAATCATATCTGGTTGGTTTGATGGTTTTATTCATGTTCTTTAGTTGTAATTTTAAGGAGTTTGTGAGCTGCAGTCAGAAGCGTATCTTGTTTTTGTTTACTGAATACTGTAGACCTTTGCAATAGTGGAGAATATCTGTAGCTCAGGTGTAGGATGAGGGTGAAAGTTCATTCTCCGAGCTTGTGTGTTGGGTTTCCGAACGTTTTTTTACCAGGCTAGATAACATCTTCAGCGGAGTTTAAGGGACTCTAGACCTTTTCTCCACCTTTCAGAATATACCCTAGTTGATTTTGCTCTTGTTCTTTTAGGTGGTATCCATTTGTAGGGTCATTTTTTTTTTTAGGTTGTTGGACGAATGTTACAATTTTTTTATTTATTTATGTAAAAAAATAAGATGTATTAAATTTTAATAATCACAGAACTTTCTTGGCAAAACTGTCTTCTGCTTCCTTTTCATGGATTATCCTGTTATTTATTTATTTAGCTTTATTACCAACTGCAGCATTCCAGTCTCCCATAACTGGTAAGTTGCCTTTTGTGTGGGTTGCATTTACAAGGTATTATAAATCACCACAGGACTAGTCAACCTCTGCTTCTTCCGCATCTGTTGTTGGATTTGGATTGCCATAATATTGCTGTCTTGTCTTGGAATCAAAGCGAAATGATTCTTTCATGGGAGGGTGGTTGCATTTCAGGTCTGACTTGGATAACATTTTATTGCAAATTATTGCCACTCCATTCCTTCAGTAATTTTCTTGTCCACAATACAATCTGGTACTCTTCTGACATGAACTTCCGCTCACTGCAGATTGCTGATTCCTAGAATATTCATTTCAGTCTGGACATTTATGTTTTGATAACATTAAGCATATCTTGGTTTATGGTTCCGACATTTCAGGTACTAATGATATAGATATTTTTGCAGCATCAACGATACTTTTGCTTTTGCATCAGCAAGCGGATGCTCTTTTGACTTTAATCCAGCCACACTGCAAGCTCCAGTGCTACTTTTACCTGCCTTTACCTGCCTTGATATATACCTTCCTATCTAGGCTGTAAGTTTTCATACTGGAAGAAGTGGATGTTTCTTTCTTTGTAGAGCCAATTCAAGACTGATGTCTCATCTATAACCTATAGTGGTATGTGGGAATGACCTGGGAGACAGGAGGAAGAGCAGCAGACTAAACAATGGTCAGACAGATCAGCTGAGTCTTCATCAGAAGGAATTTGGTGGTGATAAAGGTCTCAGAAAAAACTCTCCCTAGTTTCTTTCTGCCATCACTTGTAAAAGACTGAGAGAAATGTACATAAAAGAAGTTCTTATTTTGTCAAGCCTGGCTTTATCTTACAATGATCCTCGAGCTTATTTTGACAAACAAGTTACTAGACAGCCTCCAGAAATATAAGATGAAATTATATAGTGTTAAGGAAGATTTACCTTGATAGAGATATGCAGCCTCTATTGCCTAAACAAAAGGAGCCGAAACATTTTTCAAAAGTCCCAGGAAAATTGCATTTGGAAATGGTTCAGGAGATGCCACCTGAATACACTGAACTATGAGAAGGAGGAGGTATAGCACAATCAGACTTGTAAGATTCTGTTATGCTAGCCAATCGCCATAAAAATAGTTTCAGCTTTCCTGTGAGGTTGATTTCCTGGTCAGGGCCTGACAGAAACCTTACTCTACTTCTTTCCTTTGTTTGCAATTAGATTTTATTTAGAGGAAAGGGGGCAGCTTGTGTTATTAAACATCAAATCAAAAGTTTAAAGGTAAGGAAATTATACTTCGAATGCCACCACTTTTGTAATTATTTTAATTAAAAAAAAAATCCTTCCCTGTTATCATGCCAGGCTATTTCTTTTGTTTTTTAAAAAAGTCCTGATGCTGGAAAACGTTCAGACATGCTTCACTTTAAAGGCCTAGACAGTTTTAATGCCCTGTGAGAAATCCAGAGGAGCTTTCTTCCAAAGATTATATCTAACCACAAAACAAGAAAAAGACTAACATGTAAAGATTAAAATATATGGTTAATTTTTAACTGCTCTGTACAATCTTGAAGTCTTGCTTTCAACTAGATTAAATAATGTAACAATACATGCAAGAATCTGTGAGTATTACTCTATCCTCATGCACACGCACTCACACACACACAAGCACACAAGATGCAATCTTTTATAGCTTGTCGGTTATCAATCATCTAACTGGGACTTATTTTCTGAAAAACATACTTATGTGTTTGTATTGTGTTGCCAGTATATTTTCACTGTGTTACTTCCCAACATCCAAGCAGAAAGTCACAGCTTGCTCACAGCTGCTCGGCTCTTTCCCCCAATGTAAACAACACATTGCTTTAGCACAGTGTTTCTCAACTTTGACAATTTTAAGGCATGTGGACTTCAACTCCCAGAATTCCACAGCCAGCAATGCTGGCTGTGGAATTCTGGGAGTTGAAGTCCACATGCCTTAAAATTGTCAAGGTTGAGAAACACTGCTTTAGCACATCTTTCTAGCATCTGGATTGGGAAGAAGGCTCTACGTCCCTTTCTTTCATCCAGGATAGGTGGTACGAAGGAGGCGCAAGTGGTAGCTTGTCTCTTCTTTCAAATTTCCATCTCTGTTTTAACTACAGAAACTCAGCCTGGAGCTTTTCTGCCCATTTCATCAATCCAAAAACAATTCTCTGATCTCATTTTGTGTGGTATTTTTTTTTCCCTTAGGGCAGGGGTTCTCAACCTTGGCAACTTTAAGACTTGTGGACTTCAACTCCCAGAATTCCTCAGCCAGCTTTGCTGGCTGAGGAATTCTGGGAGTTGAAGTCCACAAGTCTTAAAGTTGCCAAGGTTGAGAACCCCTGCTTTAGGGGGAGTTAATGTACTCAGAATGCAACATTCACTCAAGGCAGCATAGAAGATATAAACAAATCACTTTGAAAAGTGTCAATTTGAATAAGTTTATGTAATGAAAAGGAGAACACACATACACACACATAAAAATAACTCCAATTCCTCCAAATTTAGTTAGCTTTTTTCCCACTGAAACTTTCCTTCCTAGGGACACTGAACTTAAAGACTGGGCAGGTTTGCATGAGAATAGGTAGTAGTATATTCTGACACAATAACCCAACAGCTGAGGAAGAACTAAGCTGGAAACTATGAGCTCCATAAGTTGGAATAACTGGAATCCAATTAACGATATTGGTTGATAGTAGGCCACCAACACTTTATGAACTAAATTCACCTTCCCATACATTCTGTCATTCACTCTGCATTTTTTAAGCAGCCATATGCTTTAATCATCTTTCTGCCCATAGTTTTCATGTGTTTCTGGAGTAGTCCGAGTTCACAGTGAGTTATAGTTTTGGACAAGAGGTAATGAAAGACAAACTACTTGGGATCTGTATTCTGCCATTCATAAGTCAATTAAATTATTAATGGTCACCAACTGATCAGAGGTAATTTCTCATTTCCTTCTTTAAGTAGACAAGGAGTTCGTACAATCTCTGCGTGCTTACTTTTTAATTTAAACAAGGAATAAAAATCTGAATTAAAAAGAAACTTGATCCTATGATTAAATCATCCACATATTAAAAGCATCACCATTTCTTATTAAATTTGATTACTTCCACAATACACAATCTACCTATTTAATAGAAAAAAAACTGTGCAGTGATAATCAAAAGATTAAGTAAATGCAACCGTAAATAAAAATGACAAACTCCTACCTCTTAAAGATAAAGAATTGGCTTCTCCATGTTCTGTTTGCTTGCACCGGCCATGCAATTTACGTGTTTTCAAGTACTGTTTTATTCTTGACTCAACTGCATCTTTCAGCAGAAGACAAACTTCCTGGGAGATAATTTGTGTTAAGGTAAATATAAAGACTGAGAATACTGATTTTTCTACTTATTGCATATAATAACATACTCTTAGAAAACCTGTGACGTGCAAGCTAAAAAAAAACTTTGCAAGTACATCCAAAATCAATGATTATTTTTAAATCTGTGCATATTAATAAAGCACAATATTATTAATAAATATGTTGCTTAGTATTTTTTTAATGAAAAGATAGAATATAGTTTGTTTTCTAAATAAAATACCCTTATTTTCTCATATACTAAATTTAAAGATCAATTTTTCTTTCTTTCTTTCTTTCTTTTTTTCCAATTCTCTATGCTATGGGCTACTGTAATTACACAGAACAGAGTGAAGGGAGAAGTGGAAATAAAGAAAACAAGTATGTTTCTTCCTTCATAAAATTAGTTCTTCACTGACACAGTTGAAGTGGATTTATAAAATCATGAGATCAATTTCTTTCTTTATTTTTAAAAGTAGGAATGATTAGTCTTTACCTCTCTCTGATGATCAGAAAACCACATACGATCCTGCGAGGCAATATGGAAATCTACCAAGACTGCAAAGTTTCCACACTTGGGATAGTATTTGGAGATATCAGAGAAATAAAAAGAAATTGGCAATTAAATCATACACTATCAACAAGCCTAAATATTTATCTATTTAATTAATTACTACCAAGCAATTCTGAGCTGCTCACAATACCATAAATAACAGAATCAATTACAGGATCAAAACATTAAACAGTGGGCATTGAAAGTTAAAAAAATTAAAATAGGAAGGCAGATAAAAAGAACCAATGTGCCGATGGGGTGAAGGTAATTGGCATATTACTTAGCCTTAGGCTTTAATTTATAAATCAATTAATAGTCCCTGCTTTATATAGAATTGAAAATAACATAGGATATAATATTGGCAGCTGTCAAAAGAACCATAGTATTTATTAAAAATCTAAACTCAAGTCATCATCGGTATAATAAGGGTCTTGAACAAATTTCAGCAATAAAATAAATAGCTTAATTAATGCCATTTTATTTATTGCTTTTATTTTAATTACACGGTTACTCTGATGTTTTATATTTTATATTTAGTACTGTAGATCAGTTTGAATATTTGCAAATTCAGAAGAATGGGAGGTAAATTCAAAAATATATAAACAAATACTATACATTTTTTGTTATTTTAAAAAAAAAACAGCATTATATGCTGTCCCACGAATCTATCTCGTTCTGTTGAAATGGATTGGTCTTGCCTTTTAATTAAGATACAAGTGATTCATTCATCTACTTGGATTTGGTACAATATTCAAAGCAGAGATTTGTAGATCACACTGTGACAAAAATCAGCTTATCTAAAACATTGTTAGCATTCAATATTAGCAAGGCTGATGCAGTAGTTTGCTGGTAAATTTGGGTTATCACGGAACAGTAACAGAATGAAACAGGATATTAAAAATATTGCAGGTTCTGTGGTAGCAGTTTTGTATTTGTATTTGTTGACTGTCAAAATGTGGGCTAATTCATATGAGCCCAACTAGCCACTTGAAAACTATTCTTTGTAATAGTCTTTGCAGACCTGTGCTGTCATTATTTTCCTGAATCTCCAAAAGTGTAAGGCCACTTGATCTTCCTTGTCTCAGTTATGGCTGATGGCCTGATAAGAAACTATGACCATCCGTCCCATCAAATGCCACACCCCAGATCAGATTCCATCAGAAGCAACAGCACTTAATTATTATAATTCATTCACAGGAGTTAAAGAAACCTCAAGGTCCTAAAGTAAGCATCCTGCTATAACAACTTTAAATCAACTCCTGTGTCAACTGTCTCCATACAGTGAGCTGGTTGGAGTTACTCACCATGGAAGAAATTTCCCATCTCCAGAGATCCATAAACATACAGATTTTGGTCAGTTGATTGTGCTTCAATGGAAAGCCACAAGGGAGTAGCAAAAAACAACAACAACCATTTCCTTTCTGATTTCAAAGTATGGGCCACTATTCCACATGAAGTTTAGGGCTAAGGTAGATTTCTTGGCAAAATGTTTCATTTCAGTAACTTAATGGTGTTTGCTGTTGGAAGAATTTGATTTTTATAATGATGGGTGAGTGGGATAATACTAGTTCAAAAGTTCACAGGAATTGTTAATTGTCAGGGATTGCCATTATAGTTCAAAATGACACAAGTGGGAAATCTCCTAAAAACAGGTGTCAAAACATACTCAGTTGATTTCACAATGATAATGGGTGTAATTTGACTTTTTTTTGCAACCTATGATTTCTTAGGAAAAATTATATGAGCCATAAATCCAATTATGGAAAGAAAATATCAAATTTGGATGACAAGTATATATATTATTTATTGGCCACACACATTTCTATACTCTACTGTTTAACTAGATCTAAGAAATATTATACTAATACACCATCATAATAAAAATAAAAGCCAGATTGAATCATCTATTCCTGCCATAGATGAGATGGCCAATCTTCCATTAATTTAGTCAAACTGTTTTGCTCTAGTACGTATTTTATTATTTTAAGATGGCAATAATCAGTCAGCAGTAAACAATATTTTTCTCAACTTTATAGTGGACTGAATTTAAAGTAATTTTTAGCTTATCTGCTTTATATTTTAACCCCTATGATAAAACAACCCCTCTAACAAAACAAGGGTAATGGACATGTTTTCTCTAATTATGTCACCTTCCAAATCAGATTTTTCAATTGTCTTGTAGAGTTGGATTTCAACTCCTATAGCAGGGGTAGGCAACCCAAAACACTCAAAAGAGCCACTTGGACCCGTTTCCCACCAAAACCAAAACACTGGGAGCTGCAAAACCCTTTTGATATCTAAAATGAAGATAACACTGCATATATCCTTTTTTACCTTTATGATATATCTTCATTTTAGATGTCAAAAGAGTCTCTCTCTCTCCCCCTCCCTCTCTTTCTCTCTTTCCTCTCTCTCTCTTTCCTCTTTCTCCCGTTTCTCTCCCCCTCTTTCCTCTCTCCCTTTTTCCTCCCTCTCTCTTTCTCTTTCCTTTCCCTCTCCCCCTCTTTCTCTTTTCTCTCTCTCTTTCCTCCCCCTTTCTTTCTCTTTCCTCTCTCTCTCTCTCTATCTATCTTTCCTCTCCCTCTTTCTCTCTTTTTCTTCTCTCCCTCTCTTCTCTCCCCTCCCTCTTCTCTATCTCTCCTCTCTCTTTCTCTTCTCTCCCGCTCTCTTTCTTTCTCTTTCCTCTCCCTCTCTCTCTCTTTCTCCCGTTTCTCTCCCCTTCTTTCCTCTCTCCCTTTTTCCTCCCTCTCTCTTTCTCTTTCCTTTCCCTCTCCCCCCTCTTTCTCTTTTCTCTCTCTCTTTCCTCCCCCTTTCTTTCTCTTTCCTCTCTCTCTCTCTATCTATCTTTCCTCTCCCTCTTTCTCTCTTTTTCTTCTCTCCCTCTCTTCTCTCCCCTCCCTCTTCTCTATCTCTCCTCTCTCTTTCTCTTCTCTCTCTTCTCTCTCTCTCCTTCCGGAGAGAAAAACTTTATCCAGATCTCAGTTAGACGTGACTCTTCTCTCATAAACATAGTGTGAAATCCTTGCCTGAGAGAGAGAGAGAGAGAGAGAGAGAGAGAGAGAGAGAGAGAGAGAGAGAGAGAGAGAGAGAGAGAGAAGGGAAGAGCAAGTGCCTCTCTGTCTCTGTCTGCAAATGGCGGAGGAGGCTCCAGCGCCGCAGAAGATGGCTCAAAGAGCCATATGTGGCTCCAGAGCTGCGGGTTGCCGACCCGTGTCCTATAGCAACCATGGCTTTTGACCATGCTTATTGGGATTTATAGGAAGTGAATTTTAATGTGTTTAATTATGCTAAACTAAACTAGTTGGGAAGATTACAACGATCTAGAAACTAAAATTCAGAATGGACTAGGGCAGGCAACCTTGGCTCTTTTATGACTTGTGGACTTCAACTCCCAGAGTTAAAGTCCACGAGTCATAAAACATCCAAGGTTGCCTACCCCTGGACTAGGGTTATTAATATTGCAAGTAATTGGCATCCTTTATAACAATGATTTTTTATTTAACAAAATAATCTAATGTGTTATGGATATTATTAAGAACTTTTAACAAATATAAAATGAAAAAGGCAAATAGTAAGGCCATGAAGCTATGTATCATTCTGCCAAAGGCTACAGGAAGCATAAAACATTCAGAATACAATGACTTGTGCTCAACCAAACTGAATTTTTCCACATAAATTAGATCAATGCAAATAGTATACTTGTACTATGCCTCAGATCTGATACAATACTAAAGTCTTAATTCACAAGAATATAGACAAAGCATAAGATGTCTAGTATTGTAAAATACTAGATTCCATATTCATAAGCACAGTGTATATAAGAGATATCAGCTAAAAGTAATACCACATCAGACTACATGCCTAAAAACCGTCCCGCAGTTAAAAAAATACACTTTTTGTTCAGGAGTTCAACGAGTTATTTCCTAATAAGTATGTTTAAGCAGCTTTTTTCTCTTTTTTCTTCATACAGGTAGTCCTCACTTAGTGACTGCCTCAGACAGCAACCATTTACAGTTACAATGGTGATGAAAAAGTAACTTTGCCCCATTTACTATCTTTGCAGGTCTGTAAGATAAAGGAAAGCTGAAATAAGATAATTAAGCACAGTCACAATTTCAGTCATCAACTGCTTTGCTTAATGATCAAGTTACTGGTCCCAGTAGATGAGGACTACATGCATATCTTAAAAGATAATATACAGATTAAAGACATGTTTCTGTTATACATCTGAACATGTATATGAACAAAAAGAGTGAACAACTACTGAATTATTTAATAACACTCCAGTATTACTTCATACATGGATAAAGGATTGTATATGGACCATAGTAGAACATCCATACCTACTACAGGTAATCATCTAATTGTAACAGCAATTTGGACTGGGATTGCTGTCTTTAAGCGATATGGTCATAAAGTACAATATCACATGACTGTGTTGCTTAGCAACAGCAATCTAGGCAGTCCCAATTGCCATCATAGCCTCAATATGTGTAAGTTGTTTAGTGGGAAAAGGTGGGAGTCCCAGGTAAGAACTGTAGGGGGTGCTGTGGGTGATGGATGACACCAGAAGAGCGCCAGCGCAGGCCACACACAAACCATGAGAGGCCAGAGGAGAGTCTGGGAGAGTCAGTAAAGTCTGCGTGTGGGCGGGGGTGGGTTTTTTTTTTTTTTTTTTTTTTTTTTGCTGCGGGCAGTACAAAAAAACCCAAAAGAAACATACCAGAGCGACTTGCATCCTTTCTTAATGGCTTCTCCTTGGAGTTTGCTTGTGGGAAGCCAACAAAGAAGGCTGCAAATGACAATCATGTAACCACAGTTCCCTGCAGTATTGTAACTGCAAGCTGAGCACCTGAGTGCCCAGATCGCAATCATGATCATATAACCACAAGAATGCCGTGATGGCCGGCACCTCAAAGACCGATGGTAGGTCCATTTTTTTCAGTGTCGTTGTAACTTTGAATGGCTACTGAACAAATGGATGTCGGCTGAGAACTATCTGTCACGTAAAGCTTGGGCTC